AGATTCTCCAGAGATTTATCTCGGCGGTATCAGCAACAATCAGGTGGCGAAAGCCCGAAAAGGTGGCGACTTTCTGGAGATTGTCACTCTGACAGCAAGTCGCCACTTTTTCGGACTTTCGCCAGCTGATCGCTGCTGATACCGCCGAGATAAACCTCTGGCGAATCGCTGGCGATCGACTATGCATACGGCTGTTAGATTACATAAATTTAAAAATAATGAAACGATAAAAATAGAGAAGATAGAACAATACTAAAACTTTACATAAATAATGGACCGTTTAAAAAATAGAACTAAAACTGACTTTTTTTCGATTAAAACTTAAAAAAAAAACTAAATAACCCTTAAAAACCCAAAAAAAACTAATCCTAAAAAAACCTAAAAAAAAAACAAAAAACTAAAAAAACTTAAAAAATAAAAAAGAAAACTAAAAGAAACTCTTAATCCATATGACTTTATTTTCTCAAGAAGTTTCACATGAGAGACCGTATCAACGGATCTACGTCAATTCATAGCCCGACAATTCATCGCGCGAAAATTCAGAGCCGACATTTCATCGTAAGACGATTCACCGCTACGACAATTCACCGCCACGACAATTTGTCGCCAGCCATTTTTTAGAATTCATTTTATGGTTTATTTTATTTTTTTTATTATTATCAAAATTTTATTTTATATATTTTTTAGTATAGGTAATAAAAAACAAGTAGGTATATTGAAAAAAAAAATATTATAAAAAATTGTAGTTGCTAGTTATTACATTTTAAATTGAATTAATATAATATAATAATATTAAATAATTTAGACTTGCATTCGAAAATTATACGCAATTCCTCGAAGATATTCCATGGTATTACGAGCGTCGTAGGATTCTGTAAGTAGTTTTAAACGACGTGCAGAATCTTTGTCAATTTTTTTTTGAGTAATTTCATTACCTGCCACAATTTGCTCTATTTTCAATTTGTTAAGGCTTTCCTCCTTTTGTAAAGCCTTAATTAGCCTTCAAATGTTGGGATGTGCAATGGAAACAATTGAACTGAAACTGTTATGCCATCCTTCAACTGCATTATTGGTTCTAGCAATTCCCTCTCTGGCTGCATTCTAACAATTCCAAGAAGATATAGAAACCGTCTTTTTCCTCTTCTGTCTAATCTACCAATCCACGTATCTTCAAAATAGTTTATTAAATCTGCTAAGTCCTCGTTTTCTGCATAGAATTCACTTTCCAATAATAAATCAAAAGCACTCTCTACATCGTCTTCAGGAACATAAGCAAGTGCAGCCAGAAGTCGCAAATTTGATGAAAACACTTCTTCATCCACATATCGCCTCTGAAATCTGGTATTCTGGATTTGTCTTCATATACACTAAGAAAAATGAAAAAAGCATCCACGAATTTGAGTATTAGGGAATTCACTTCGTACCGCATTCATCGCTGCTTTGTCGAAATCCATTAAAAAAGATGTAGGGCAAAGTTCAGGTTTCAAATTTTTTAATGCTGCATGTAAACGTCTATAGCTTTCTTCTCTTTTATTCGGCAGAATTGCATATACTGTTGGAATATTATTTGAATATTTGACGCCATGGATTTTATATATTTGGGAAAACATATTAGGGGCTGTTGAAAAAGTTCCATCTCCGTACCAGTGTTCACACTCCAATATGTAGTCAAGATTTCTTGCTGTTGTAAACACTAATATTCGATCTTCTGATGGGCCGCTGTCGTACATTAAAAATAACTGACCACTGCTTGTCAGTGTATATTCCTGTGGAATAACTAATTGAAGCAGAGAATTTATAATCGCAGGAATTCCTTCTGTCTTTTCCTTTTTTCGTTGAATAGTTCTTTTCATTGCACTCATTTGTGGTAATCTGGCTGCAGCCGATGATGATAAACCCTCGGAAACCTTTGCAATGATTTGTTGAGTAGTGGAACCACTTTGTTCAGCTAAAACTTTCATTTTTTTAACAGCTCTTCTTACTTTGGCATCAGCACTATCTGACACATGATTATGTTCGATACTCTTCACAATTTTATCGCCTATGGTATGAATGCGACCGGTACATCTCCATTTATGATATAGAGAACATTTCCAAATACCTTTTTCTCCAGAAATTTTTTCTCTAGAATGTGTATGGCCATTGTATAAAAGCATTTTGTGACCTCTTTAGCTGTCAACAAATTGTAACGGCATTTTCAAATTTTACAATGATGTAAACTCGTACAAAGACAAAATAAGAATGATTACAGTTTGTTGGTATTTCTTATTTAAACCTTATACAGTGAGCACCATAAGTCTTACCCCCCCCCCCCCTATCTAACTCGTTCCTGAAGTCTTGTTAGGAAAATCGCCGAGACACGTCGATTTTTGATTTCTACAATGTACATTTTTGTATGAATAGTTTACCCTTAATTTCATCCCTTACTGGAGGGGAGCAACCCTTTCGAAAAATTTAAATGGCATGGGGTGGTGAGTGATAGCTCATTTGAAAGAGGGTTTTATTCTCTATTCAACCGTGTAAAAAAATTTGAAATTTGCTTCATTAATTCTCGACTAATTGTTGTTTCAGAATAACGGAAATTAACGTAGCGCACTCATCCTTAGATTTAAAATTCGGCTCTGCATGATTTCGGTTTTGGTTCAGATGTGAAGTAAGACTTTTTGCTATTAGAAGGTCACTGTTAGTCTAGTTTCTTTCCTATTTTGTGAGGTTTTGCTATTTTTAAACATTAGTAAATCAACACGTAATGAAGCAAATTTTAAAATTTTTTGCACGGTTGAATAGAGAATAAAACCCCCTTTCAAATGAGCTATCACTCACCACCCCATGCCATTTAAATTTTTCGAAAGGGTTGCTACTCTCCAGTAAGAGATGGAATTAAGGGTATACTAATCATACAAAAATGTACATTGTTGAAATCAAAAATCGACCTGTCTCAGCGATTTTCCTAACAAGACCCCAGTAACGGGTTAGTTAGGGGGGGTAAGACTTATGATGGTCACTGTATACATAATACATATATTATAAACAGGGCATCTAAAATACTAACTTACACAAACAAGCTATTGAAGATAATCCTTTTTAGAATTAAATATTGATTGCACTATGAATTTCTCCTTGAAAGGATTAATAAAGGATAATTATAATTCTCTATTATTATTAACTAATGTGGTAACTTACCCGAATGGGCTAATGAAGATAATCCTTTTTAAATAGTAGGTAAAGGACTGTTGAGAACCTGCGACTGCCGCTTATACACTTTAAATTGGCTTATCAATAATACATTATTGATATTTATTATATTTTTCTTAGTAAAAACTACTTGATTAGCAGAAAAAAAGTAAATCATATTTTTGTGTAATTTAGAGTAAGATATTTTGTAATTTTTTCGAAAAAATAATTTTATTTGGTACTTATAAGAAAAATTCAATATAGCACAAAAAAAATTGTTTGTTTTTCAGACATACTGTATAAATCATAGATACAATACGATATTTTTGTGGCGATGAATTGTCGTAGCGATAAACTGTCGTAGCGATAAACTGTCGTAGCAATGAAAAGTCGTGGCGATGAATTGTCGGCTCTGAAAGGTCGCGCGATAAATTGTCGCGCGACGAATTGACTGGATACCGTATCAACAGCTTTTGACAAATCCACAAATATACATAAACTTATTTTTATATTATATATATATATATATATATATATATATATATATATATATATATATATATATACACATAAACATATTTTTATCTAATATATGAAGTTGACGCATAGATTGCGTTTTCTATGGATTTACCTACCCTAAAGCCATATTGACACTGTGAAACTAAATTATGTTTATTTAAAAAAAATTACGATTCTCTTTTTAATAACTTTCTCAACAACCTTTGCTATATTTGATATCGATTAAATCGGTTTATAGTTTTTTTCTTGTTTCTACGATAATTTTAAGTAACTAAAAATACTTAGATAACATAAAGAATGAAACGTTTAAAAAATAGAGGAGGTAGAACAATGCTAAAACTTAATTTTTTTGATTAAAACAAAAAAATTGTGAAAACTTTAACTCGTATAAACCATTAAAAATATCTATTTAAACAGCTCGAAAAAGCCATAATTACATTAAAAATACTTTTTTGGGTTTAAGGATTGAAGAAAAAAACAAATATGAAAACTTTGAATTACATAAAGTTTTTAATATTTTCTTATTAAAAAAAAAAAAAAAAAAATGTGAATATTTATCGAATTTTAACTTGTATAAACAATTTAAATTATTTAACAACTGGATAATCCAGAATTAAATTAAAACATAATTTTTTTGATTATTTGGGTTTGGGATGCATATGAATTTATATAAATGCATATAAATTTCTGAGATCATTTTAAGTAACTGGGAACACCTAAATTACATAAAAATGGACCGTTTAAAACATAGATCCGATACAGAAAACTTATTATGTTGTGATAAGCACTTAAAAACAAATATCGAATTTTCACTCGTATAAACAATTTAAATTATTTAAATGACTGGAGAAGTCAGAAATAACTTAAAACATCATTTTGTGGGTTGAAATAATAAATAGAAACTTAAACAAAAAAAAAATTTGCAAAGAATTTTGATTTCCACAAATATTTCAAAATTATTTTATTACTCTAAGATCATTTTAAGTCACTGAAAATACTTAGATCTATGACCTATGACCTATGACCGACAACAATGATACTGTATCGTTTCTATTCCTACATTTGTCAGCGTTATTTATGATTCAATCTAACAAAAGCAAAGCAGGATTGAAAGTTTATTCTTGCCAGCAATGTATATCAACAAATTTATCCCAGCAGTCTATAATGACTGACTAATTTTGCATGTAAATTTTGAAATATGACAATTCATTTTTTTGTTTCTACATGCACTGTAATGTATTTTTGAAATTAAAATTTGAAAAATAATAAAAATTATAAATATTTAAATAGTTATGGTAGGTATTTACCCGCTGATGTTATTAAACGAAAAAGAAGGTGCATCGACCTTCCGAACGTTTCGAAGTTCACCATATCATCGAGAGCTCCCTGTTGTCGAACATGACCGAAGAGAAACATACCGATTATGGCATAAATAAAGGTTATGAGAGCAAGAAGGGCTCCAATGTTGAACAAAGCAGGAAGAGACACTATTAATGCGAAGAGGAGCTTTCTTATACCTTTGGCAGCCTAGAACACAAAACAAATTAATAATTTATGTCAAAGAGAAGTTTGTTATTTTGTAGTGTCTAAAATATGCTTAATATAAGATGTCTCATTTAAAGAGGCCATTATAGCTGTCCCAAATAACCTGTGATTAACGCCTTTATTATTTATAATCGTTTATGTGGCGAGACCTTATATTTAGTAACTGGTTGCATAAATAGCCATTACAAATGATGTCAGTTTATATGTCTAATTTAAAAAAATAAATTTAAATTGTGGTAACGAAGTAAATGAATAAATTTATAAATTATATTATACAGAGATACTTACTTTAATCAATCGTAAAATTCTTCCTATCCTAAATACTCTAACTACTCTAAGAAGAGTCGGAGAAACAGGGAAGTCTATCATAATGTCTTCCATGAGAATGCCAAGAATGGAAGCCAGAACCAATAAAAAATCGAAAACATTCCATGGAACAGTAAAGTAATGGTACCTTAATCCTATTATTTTCACTATAGCTTCTACAAAGAAAAACAGTTCAAGATTTTATTCTCTTTACCAAACAAAAAAAAATAGTAATATAACATTTTTAAACTATTTTTTGGCGAAATGGCGAATAGTTTGTTTTTGGTTGGCTCAGAATTATGCTGTTTATTATGCGTAATTTACTTTAAAAAACTGAAAATATCTCGAAAAATAATAACCTTATCGCTATGAGGAAAGAGTACAATATTTACGTAGGAAGTATTGGAGAATCGAAAAATTGTGATAAAATTGCAATTCCATAGAATTTGGGAAGGATTAATCAGTCACTTGTCCCTGTCGTACGCCTCTGATAGTAGGTAGAAACGTTTATTTAACATAATTTAGTAGGGTGTATAGTATCTACACTTCCCGCCAAATATGACAGTAATACGTCAAATAGTTTTAAAGTACTGGACAGAAATAATTTTTAAACCTAACTCAGAATCTGAGCTCAGGATTCTATAGTAAATATTTTCAATTAGTAATGAATCATCTTGTATATATACAGGGTGTGCCACTTAAAAGTGGGGGGCCTTATCTTCGTTATTTATTGAGATATCGAAATAATTTTTTTTTGTTGGAAAGACTGGAACAAATACTCTCTTATGATTAATTCAATTATTCTGTGACGTCATGGCTTACTTCCGGTTTTTCCGGAAATAACAGCAAATCGTAATTTATTTTTTATTTTTAAATTGAAACCCACTTTTTTCACAGCTTTCAAAATGGCTGCCATATTGGATAATATTTGTTCTAAACATGTTACTATTATTTCGTTTAAGGAAAAAAATATAGAAATAAATGAGCTTTTTAAAATCTTTGTAAGCTTCAAAATTATCATTGTGACCCATTTACTGAATACCAGTGGCGTATCTAAGCATTTTTATTATTAGCAAACCGTTTAATAATTCCATCTGCTTTTATCTTCGTTGTTAGTTGAGAATGAAAACTTTTTTGTTTAAATGCTTATAACAAATATTTTCATTTACTGGATCCAACTGGTCTATGACGTCATTGCTTATTTCCGATTTTCCCGGATATAACTGAAAATCGCAATTTATTTTTAATTTTAAAATGAAAACCCATTTTTTATTGGAAATTTGAATTTCTGGGACGTTTTCCGACAAGAAGTGTGTGTTGAAATTTTTCTGTCAGCTGTCAAAATGACCGTCATATTGGTTAATATTTTTTTTAATGTGTTATTGTATATTCGTTTATGGAAAAAATATGAGAATGTATAAAATCTTATTAAGGCCCATTTACAGTATACCTACCAGTGGCGTATCTAAGATTTTTGTTATTAGCAAACCGTTTAATAATTTCACTTGCTCTTATCTTTTTTATTAATTGGGATATCGGAATGAAAATTTTTTTGTTTGAAAGCTTGGAATAAATATTGTCAAATAACTGATTTAACTGGTCTGTGATGTCATGGCTTATTTCCGGTTTTTTGAAAATAACAGTAAATCGCAATTAATTTTTTATTTTTAAATGGAAACCCAATTTTTTATTGAAAATTTATATTTCTTGAGCATATCTGTCATAAACGATTTCAGCGCTTGTAACCACTACATCAGTCAACTTCCTACTGATAAATAAAATAACAAAAAATAGTAAGTTATGCTTATAATAAGTGTATAAAGTGGCAATCAATAAAGGCCTTTACATACGAATTGCATACGATATTTCTACTACCGTACATATTGCCCACTAAGATTAAAAATACAAAGGTTACTTTACGCACTAATGCGTAAAGAAAGTTTAAAATAAAAAGTCATTTGTCATGTCAAAATACTAAAAATTGTGTCTTGTTGACGCACTAGTGCGTAAAAAGTTTTACTATACCCACTAGTGAAAAAAGTAAAACTGTATGCACTCCGTAGTGCGCATAATGTATGTACTTTAACGCACAGTAGCAGAAAAATAAATTAATACGACACACAATAGATCTTTAAATTTAAAAAATGTTTATTCTCATTTTATATTTTAAAGTAGCTTAATTTCATCACAAAGATTTAAGGAATCAATATAATAAAATAATACCCATCATACAATAATAAACATTGATAAGTTCAAGAAATTTAAATTTTTAATAGAAAAGTGCGTTTCCATTTAAAAATAAAAAATTAATAGCGATTTACTGTTATTTTCGAAAAACCAGAAGTAAGCCATAATGTCACATATCAGTTGAAGCAGTATTCGACATTATTTATTCCAAACTTTCAAACAAAAAAGTTGTCATTCCCATTTCTCAATTAATAAGGAATATAAGAGCGGGTGAAATTATATATTAAACGGTTTGCAATAACAAAAATCTTAGATACGCCATTGGTACAATGTAAATGGGTCTTAATGGGAATTTTGAAGCTCACGAAATTGTTATACATGCCCATATTTTTTTCCATAAACGAATTAACAGTAACATATTAAAAAATATATTATCCAATATAACAGTCATTTTGAGAGCTGACAAAAAATTTTCAACACACGTCACAGACCAATTGAATCCAGTATATGATAGTGTTTGTTCCAAGCTTTTACACAAAAAAGTTTTCGTTCCAATATTTCAATTTACAACGAAGATAAAAGCGGATAGAATTATTAAACGGTTTGCTAATAATAAAAATGTTTAGATACGCCACTGGTGTATTGTGAGTGGGTCTATTAGGGATTTTAAATCTTACAATGATTTTATAAAAATCATACATTCCCATATTTTTTCCATAAACGAATTAATAGTAACATGTTTAGAAAAAAATATTATCCAATGTGGCGGCCATTTTGACAGCTGACAGTAAAATTTTAATACACGCTTCTTTTACTATATTGTCCCAGTAATTCAAATTTTCAACAAAAAAGAGGTTTCGATTTTAAATTAAAAAAAAAACTTGCGATTTTAAGTTATATCCGGAAAAATCCAAACTAAGCCATGACGTCACAGACCAATTGGATACAGTATATGAAAGCACCTCTTATAAGCTTTTAAACAAAACTGTTTTTATTCCGATATCTCAATTAACAACGAAGATAAAAGCGGATGGAATTATTAAACGGTTTGCTAATATTTAAAATGCTTAGATACGCCACTGGTAAACGGTAAATGGGTCTCAATGGAAATTTTGAAGAAAACAAAGATTTTATAAAGATCATACATTCCTATATTTTTTTTCATAAACGAATTAATAGTAACATGTTTAGAACAAATATTATCCAATATGGCGACCATTTTGAAAGCTGTCAGAAAAATTTCAATACACGATTATTATACAAAAAGTCCCAAAAATCCAAATTTAGAATAAAAAAAGTAGGTTTCAATTTAAAAATAAAAAATAAATTACGATTTTCTGTTATTTCCGGAAAAACCGGAAGTAACCCATGACGTCACAGAATAATTGAATCCATCGTAAGAAAGTATCTGTTCTACTCTTTCAAACAAGAAAATAATTATTTCGTTAACTCAATGAATAACGAAGATAAGGGGAGGTGGAACTTTTAAGTGGCCCACCCTGTGTATATATATTTTTTAATTTTAATCAGTAGGAAAAGTAATAGATAATTTAAATATGTAAATAAAATGATTCTTACCTAATCCAAAAACAGTTGTAAAAAACGCATTACTAACTTCTAAAACAAAGAACACAGCGTGTGGCTGACCGTAATGCTCGATGCCCATTGATAACATGTTTAAAAAAATTAAAACGAATATCGCTATCTCGAACCGGCGAGAATTCGACAAATCGTAGAACATGGCCAAGCATTGATTCATTGGCCTTTTTATCACTTTTTGTGGTTTCTTCCTCCCCAATTTTTTCATAGCAGTATAATAGTGCTTCTGGCTTTCCGTTAGAAACATTTCTAACACTCCACCTTCGTACTAAAAACAAAAAAAAATTATTGCCAAAATCTTTAAAGGGAATGTTTTAGCAAACTGTATTTGTGTCTGAAGACGTCTGATACACAGATAAATTTTGTATGTGTAGAAGTTTTAGATTTTCCCATTAAAAATGTCTATGGGCACAAAGCATCGAAATAGAATGACTAATTTTTGAGATACAGAGTGTTCTCATAATTTTCAAAAATATTTTAAGGATTGAACGTTGTTTAAAAGTTACGATTTTTGTTACTACCAACCAAAATACAACAGCAACATTTTTGTTTAAATTAAAATAACTACCTATTTAAAAATAATTTAAAATAAAGATCCTAAATTGATAATTTATATAGATTTATTATTTATATCGGTGTTTAATTATAATCGACACTTTATTATTATAAAAAATACACATATACGGGGCGAGCTAAAAAGTTGGTTAATCAGATACGACCAAAAGTCATATGCCGTCATATGCCATAAGAAAATTGCGGGGTCCTTCAGAATTGAGATCTAAATTTTAGAACAGGTGCTGAAGTTAGGAGACATTAGGGGTGTAAGTACCAGGCAAAAACAGGCATATCGATGTGTTACAAGGGCGTAAAAACCGCTACAGAAGTTATTTTAAATTTGTCACTACTATATATTACTGAGGCCCTTTCTATGGGGCCTCAGTATTGCATTCGTGCAGACGAAACAATTTTCTTATCCCCATTTTTTAAAACTTTTTTTCATGTTTCATTTTGAATCCGAAAATGCAAAAAAATAGAAATTTCGTCTGGTCGTCTGTGTGTATGAATGCCGGAACAATATCTCTAGAACGAAAGTTCTGATTGACTTGCGGTTTCGATTTTCTTGAATAATTATTTCTAGCTTAGAACCCTATTGATTTTCAGAATCTGCCTATGCATTTCTTATGTGACAAATTTTACGAATTTCAATCATTCCTAACGTCTAACATTCCTATTATTCTTAACATTCCATACATTGCAAACATTCTCCAACGACCTGTCAAGCAACAGCTGTTAATTGAAAAAGGTGAGATTTCTAAATATATAAGCAGTTTCTTAAAAATAACTTTTTTATGTTGGTGCTAACTTAAGCTTACTACTATTTCGCCCCTAGCCACAAAAACACCTTCATCAAAGCCATATTCGAGCGATCGACTGGTTTAAATATATTTCATGTGGTTTGAAAATAGTTTGAACTATTCCCAGCTGTATCTGTTTTTAAAACGTCTTCTAGAGAACGGTTCAAAGAAATACAAGTGTCAGTAATGTCAAATAAAGTAATAATAAGCATTATATACACATACTTTGATTACTATACGGGGCAAGAGAGAGATCCGACACGCCCAACATAGGGCGCGGCTATTTTGATTCCTATGACACAGTTTACAGATAAAGAATCAGATCGCTCACTCTGCGTCGGCACTTTTGATCTCAATGTTCCAGTTTATACACTGCGCAACTCGGATAATACAATATATGACAACCGCCTGTAATAAAACAGCAGTCTTCTGTGTATCCTGAATTTGTATCCCTGGAGTGTATGTTATTTTGGAACTTTCAACTGGTCCGAGTGAGCTAACAGATTCTTTAGCAATAAACTGTGACTTCAAAAATAATATTCACTGACACTGACAGCAGCAAGCAAAATATCAGGTGCGTTTTAATCATCCGCTTCTGCTTCCGGTCGGTTAACCTGTCAGATTAAAACAAGAAAACCGACAATTCCGAAGCAGAAGCGGATGATTAAAATGCACCTATTAAAAGTATTGCGCCAAGATGTAGGCAACACGTAATAAAGGTTCAAAATGGCGTAGTTTTCTATCTCCTTTTAAAAGGCACTCAGAAACCGAGAATACCGATCAAGGAGAAGCGACAGCTTGGTGTTTTCGGTGGACCGTTTTGTAACGCGCATGTGCGAAAATAAGTTGTGTATCACTCAAAATTATGTTATCTGTCAAAGTCAGTCCAAGTTGTGTTTAGTACGTGAGCAATGTTAAGTGATATTTTTTGGTGTTTGTTTTGTGTAGTAATAAGATGAAGATTTTTACACACTTAGGTATCCTAATACAGATATAAAATGTGCCAAAAAAGTTATTAGGAAACTAAGAATTTTATCACATGCATAAATATTAAGTATAATGATTTAATCATTTTTGACATTTTATTTTTCATATGTAGGTATTGTATTTTGTGAAATATATGTTTTTCTTCTTTTAAATAAATTTAATAAACAATGAACTGCAGATTTTGTTTATTTTATTTTAAAATTATATTTAAAAAAATATAATAAATTCGCGTATTTCAATTAGGATTGGTCAAAGTGGGCAAAATCCCTTTATTATGGCTAAATTGTAAGTTACAATTATGTCAATATAAAGATGTTTTGCCCATTCATATTTACATTTATTGAATGAATCAACTAGAGTTGATTTTGGAAATATTGGTGCATACTTAAATAAGTACTATTTCTAAAAATTCGTCTTTGCACACATAGTCCAATGGACGTCTACTTTAGATCTATTTGAGGGTTAGGACGTCCATATCCGGGCATCCAGTGTACGTCCGTTTATGCTAATTAAATTGACAGCTGAATATCGTTACCCAGAGAACGTCTATGTTTGGACTTAATTTTAAGTTCAGTAGTATTTTGACGTCCAGTGGACGTCCATCTTAGGTCATTATTTATTAAGCCTACCAGATAATATCCATCTATATATACTTCTTTTTTTTTAATATAACTGGTCATTAAAAATTGACAAATTGAATCTATTACATTTCATTCTATCAGCGGAAGTTTGAAATCTTATTCAATTATAATTAATTATATAACAAGTTTTCAAGTGGTTCCTTGGTCGAGCTCGTCTAGCGATTGAAAGCGTAAAACGATAATGGATGTGTCGTGAGTTCGATGCCTGCTCAGGTCAAGCGATTTTTAATAAAAAATAAATAAATGGTGTATAGCGATTTGCGAAAATAATAAACAAATTATTAATAATATAAAATAGTGTGTGGTGAGTTGCGGTTCTGTAAAAAAGTGGGGATGTGGTCTCAATGGAAATATAATCCTGGACGTTTTTTGAATGTCCAGTACTCGACGTCCAAATATATTCCAGAATTGGACGTCCTCTGAATGGTCAAAAGTGTGCCATTTGTATACTTCACTGGACGTCCATTGGATGTCGGAAGTCCAGAAAACTCATTTTTGAACGTCTAGACATCCAAAATTGTATATCGAATGGACGTCCAATGAACATATTTATATTGTCTGGGTAATAGCCAGGCCAGGTATTTAACTCTAAATACATAAACCTTAAATGACATCTGGTTTAACTTGGCGAGAAAACCCTTGTTTCTACAGAAATAAGTGATAAACTTGAAAGTACTTTTAATATAATATAAATCTAGAAATTATAAAAATATGTAAATACTTTTTAAACCTAAAAGCTTTGAAAATATATGCACATTGCAAATATTTAGTTAAACCTCTCAAACTTAATGTCTTTCTAATTGTTACCTAAATTTTTTTGACACCCTTAATTTTATTTACCTTATTTTTAGTTAAGGAAAAGGTAATTTAATTTAAATATGGGGCTTTTATTACATTTTTAACAATAAATAAACCAAATATTGAACAAATTTTATAGACAAATGATAAAATAATAAACGTCTTTTACTTTTATAATAAATAATTAATTATTACATAATGAAATATATTTTGGTGCCGAAATTTCAGCATTGCTATTAACCCTAACTACTTCAATGTAATTAAATCACATTGCAACATTTGCGCATGGACTATAACAATAATTTCAGATAATTTGCCAAACTATTTCGCTCAGTGTAAAAAATAAGCATGTTTTCTCAGCGTGCTAAGTTGTGTATCAGTCAAAGTCATACTGTGAAAAAGGTACATCCGATATCAAAGGCACCGACAGCTACTGTCGCTTCTCCTTGATCGGTATTCTCGGCTCAGAAAGCTGCGCAGTGCGACCATTCTCCGTATAGTAAAAGAAAATCAAAGTATGTGATTATATAGCAAAGCATAAACGGCGTACACATTAAAATTAATATAATTTAGTTTGTATGGTTATAAGAGAAAAATAGAAAAATTATTTGGTTTAATTGTCCTTATAAATAACTGGTTAAAGGCAGATACTAAATATAACGTGATATAACTTTAATCAAAAATTGGGTGTCTGTTTGACATTATTTTTTAGTACAGATCCATGGACAAAAGCTAGGGATCCGCACTCACGTATGAATCCTATGGACTTGAACTTGACAAATCTTAACTGTTAGTGACGTCACCGTTTTAAAATCATTTATTTGAGTGCTCTCTAAATCTATGACGTGTTATTAAAACTGATTCTAAAAGTTGTCGAAAATATTTTTAATCCTAAGGGACCGCTCGAATATGGCTCAAATTTACTGGCTCTCTGTTGCAACCCCATAGAAAAATTAACTGGCTATTTTATTTGGCAAAAAGAATAATGCTTGACTGTGCCTGTCAAATATCAAGATGTCAACTGTAATGTACGTGTGAATCACAATAGACATACTGATGGTATGCTGACTTTCGATTCAAAATTCGTCCAAACCGCGCATGACGCTTTTAGATTGAATACACTAGTTCAGTGTGATGTCATTTTGGTTCCACTGACATTTAATTCTAACCAAACTTTTAACAAAAATATCAATTAATTTGACATATACGTTTTTACTGTTTTTAGTTTATTTCTAAATATTTTTTAAAGGTCATACAAAATAATTTAAAGGTATGAAATTGGTAACTAAACGATTGTATATTTAATGCCACGTTATCTACTTATTTTAGGAATATATTTATAAAAGTAAAAAAATTATATAATTTAGGTAGACAAAACGAACAAAACTCACTCAAAAAATCTACTGTTACTTTAATTGTCAGTGGAACCATAATTACATCATCACTGAACTAGCGTATAGTGTAAAATAATTTAATAATTTGTTTTT